TATTCAGAAAACTGCGATGACACAGCGGCCGAATGTTTAGGACGTATACCACATGGTCTTAAAACGCCCTCAGCAGCAGAGTCCCCAGTTCAACTCCCAGCCAGCTTGACCTTCACAGGGAGTCATCCTCCCTACATTTTATTTCCTGCCTGTGCACTGTCAAATGAAGGCAAAAAAAAAAAGATTCCGACTGCAGCTTCGACATTTCAGCAAACAATAAACCAACGACAACTTCAAAGCGTCACATTCGACTGAAGCCCACCGCGGAGGCCTCGCGTGAGATACTCACTGTGGAGTTTCCCGCCTCGGCTGCCAATCGGGCGGCGTATCGAGCGATGAGGCGGTGCTCTTCATCTAGCCGGCTCGGACTCTCCAAGACACTGCCCGAAGTCGGAGAGACACATCACACACATATACAGCAACACCGACTCCACTGTCGGAAGCTCTTATGTAAGTAAAAGTTGGTACAGTCGAAAGAGATGACATCAAATAATTTGCATGAAAGTAGAAAACTTTATAATTGAGGTGACCTTAATATATGCCACTTGGCTCTGACTCCGGTGTTGATAGACAGTCTGATAATTGGTCATAACAATGAACGGAGATGGATAAGGGGAAGAATGCAGCATGCCAAATGCGTTTGTGACTGTGCCAGAGCCCATTCTGGCCATTTCATCAGCGACTGAAAATGTCAAGTAAAGCACAAGACTTTAAATGATCATGGGCGTGGCATATGGCGTGGACAGATGACAGGACATATGCTGTTCTTTCTCTGCAGGCGGTCTGCAATGAGGAGTGACGGAGAGCTGAAATGTTGTTTGGGAAGCTGTTCTAACTCTGACTGGAGAGTAAGCGATGATTAAGACCATAAAACCCCAATCTGGTTTCAAACCTGCTGCATCGACGAGCCTTCGCTGCTGCTGCAAAACTGCCCATAAAAATCTTATCTTTCCCCAAAAGCAGATGCAAAAAGCTGCTGGTGTGATGAGATAATCTTTTTCTTATTTCAGCGATGATATCTTAAAATGCGTCGAGATGGGGTCGCCTGGCACGTGACAACTCAGTTGATCGAGGAAAACCAAAAATGTCAAAAAACCGAGACATCGAAAAATGTCTTGTCTTAATGGGACACTTTAAATAATTTACCGCCTTGTCCTGAGGCAGAGACTGGGGCTTCTTGTAGGATTAGAGTAGCACATTAACACACATCAGGGAGCTGCCCGGTGGAGATGCATGAACTGCCTTTAAGCCCTCCTCGACTGGCATCTTTCCCAGATACTTATTTCTGCTGCACGTGTCAAGCTTTTTGACTTAAACCCAATTTCTCAGACACCACTGCGTCCGTCATGTTTTGCTGTTTAAGGTGGGAGGGCCGACTTTTTTCTTTTACACTGGTTTCCTCAAATGGTGCTTTAACTCTCTGAAGCCCAAGCAGTTTCTGTATTGTTTTTTTTTTTTTGCTCCTGTCACATTTTTTACTCACTGTGGGCTCATTTTTCGTTGCAATATAAAGTTCTGCACCTCTACGGAAACTGAACGACCACGGCTAGCAGTAGAGGGAACTTAAGCATGTCTTTTGTGCAGCATGGGGCAGCAAAAATGTCAAAAGATTATTGAAAACAATGCAGTTGACTAGAAAAATATGAAATGGTGTTACAAATACTTGAAATGTAAGTCTCTATATTGTAGATATTTTACTACCATTTTGAGTTTCTGTGTTTGTTTCCTGTTGGCTTTACAATCTGCAGAATTCAACATTTTTGTGACATGATTTTCAGTTTTTTGGGGTTTTTTTGTTGTTTTTTTTCTTTGCAAAAGCTTAATATTTGGCATGTTTTTGAATTGGACATGTAGATAAACAGATTTTCAATAAAATATTGTGATTTTAAGCTAAGAAGGTGTTACCTTTTTTAAAATTTTACAGATGAGTATTTCAAGCACTGCCATCAAGTTGAAAATATGACGATTGTTCCTGTTTTTACAGTTTCTGGCTCTGATAAATTTCAGAATTTTTAAGATTTTGGGATTCGGAGGGTTAAATGAAGCACAAATTAGTTTTCTCTGTGACTTACAGTGTTATAGTTACCTGGCAAATACATGCAAAATCACATTTAAATGATTAAATCAAGGTTCAGTGCACAACTTTTTATCATAACTGAATTTCCCTGAAAATCAGAAAATGATCGTATGAAATTTCTGTCCATTTCTGTCAGTTAAAACTGAGATATTTCGCATAATTTGCTGTTGTGTTTGTGCTAAAGTAAGCTGTACAGTCAATGTACTCAATGGAAAACAAACCAAATTGCAAATCGAGGATAATATAAAGCAGATAAATGACTTTATGATTAATTCATGAGAATTTAAAAGGTTTAATCTAAACTTTAATATTAAAAGTGGAATATGCAATTCAAATTCAGTCCATTTACTTTTAAATTCAGCAATTATTAGCTCAGTCAGTTCTTTGTTTGCACTGAATAAAGTTTGACGCTCACATCGAGCCCTGGTTGGAACGATCCACACATTTCCACCACACTTTGTGCACATTTGTGTTTGCCTCATTTAAATCTGGCACATTCGAACTATCCAAACATGCCAAGTAGCTAAATATCAACAATCTTTCCCCAGACTCACAAACTCCGTCTCTAAGCATCCAGCTTGTCACTCAGTGAAACATTCTGGCAGTTCAGTTCATGAGTTTCACATAATGACATCTTCAGTTGTTCTCACGTTTGATCAGTTGTCAGTTAACTCCGAGCTCGAAGCTCTTCAGTGTCAAAGGCAGCGTTTTTTTTCCTCCTTTTTTTTTTTTTTTTCCATTTTAAATGTTATCGTCAGCCGTAGCGGTTGTGCATGACAAATGGGTAATAAATTGCGTGGTGTTGGTTTGCTGGTGGTGAGCAATTGTCTGCGTTGTGGGAGGGAGGAGATGCCATGTCAGCAGAGCAGACAGTATCAGAGAGCAGACTGTGATGGAGGCTACAAGCACAACACTCGCAATCTTTCAAACGGAGCGCATTCGGTTTCTGCTCTGCCCCGACATCTTGTAGTGAAGTTCTGCTTCTTTCTTTTTTTTTCTCCCCCCCGATAAAAGACGGAATCTGAGAGAGTCAACAAACAAGGACAGCTCTGGTGCTGCTTTTCAGTTTGGGGCTCTTGAACTGAGACAGAGCCACGAGGAGCTTTGCATTATTCAGCAGTCGCATCTTTGACTCATAGGCCCTTCATGTGACGGCGGCCAGGCCAGTGCCAGGTAATTATAACAATAAATTCATATTTGCAAACCAAATGTGGGACAGAGAGAGGCTGGTGGGAACCGGCCCCGAGTTCCCTGCAACTAAACGAAACCTGCCTCATCCCTCCTCATTCAGCGCCTTATCTCCTGGTATCCACACCGACACTCAACACAACCTATTTTGGAGGCGTCACGGCGGCTTAATGCGCAATTTCTGCCCTAAAAATGGCAGCTTTGTAGTTGTTTAGACACCTCCAAGGCAACGGGTTCTTCGGTGCATGACATCTTCCCAAAGCAGCTCTGACTCAGAGAGCAAAATGTCAAGACAAAGGTTATCGGGCTTCTTCATTACTGCCACAGCGAGACAAACCTCAGGAGAGCGTCGCTTTCCCCCCCCACCCTCGTACAACACGTGACGTCTTCCGCTGACCTCCACGGGTCTGGATGCGAGGCTTCGTTTACAGCCTCGGGTGTCCCTATCTTGTCAGCTTCCCTCAAACCAGCTCTAATCTGGATACTGTCAGCCCTCTGAGACAAGACCGCGCTGCACAAAGTGTTCATCTCTGCAAGAAATTTTTATCTGCTATTGATTGTTGCCTCGCTTTCAGCAAGGTTAAATGACTTAATTTCCTTCTAAATGTACCGTTTCTAGTGGGAAAATATTTACCACGGTCTCACATTTGGACTAAAACGACACATATGAAGGCTCGGTTCTGCTGCACATTACTGGATTTTATTTCTATTTTTTTGCAGTGTGCATGTTGCCCTTCAGCTGCTGGGGTCCTTGGTGTAGTACTGTATGATAACTCAGCCCAGAGGAGTGGAAAAAAAACATGCACAGATTTCATTCAAGCACCCTCTGCATTCTTGACAAAAGTCTTTATGTGGATTTTAATCAACCATCTGATAACCCGGGCTGATACGCACACCTCTGCTCTGTCTGTACACCGGACAGGGACGTCTCATCCCCACTAATTGTGCCGTGGAAAGTCCCGAGCCCCCCTCACCAGTCCCCGTCTTGCAAACACAAATTGCCGGAAAGATGTGCGAGCGAGATGCACAAAAAAGGAAAATCCGAGAGAGTGCGGATGCATTACGGCTCCCTCAGAGTGCTCTCTCCATTACTGTATTCGTAACCACAATGGTTCATTACCACTGTAAGTAAATAATAATAGAGGTGGCCTTTAAAGTGAGAGGGTTGAAACAAGAGGACGGTTCCTCGGCTGCGATCTGCTTACATGGTGCGGCTCCAGTTCTATCATAATCTATTTGTCAAATCAGCCCCTTTAAGTAGGAGTGCTCACATATTCTTCACGACAGCGTAACAAATTTTCCTCTAAAAATACACTCGCAAGGGCACGCTGCTCGGATGCAAAAAAATGTGTGTCAAGTGTGAAGGAACAAATTACATCTGTAGTATGATTTGCCGCGCTATTCTTGTTATTTCCAGTGATGAGAGAGGATCTGTCACCTATTCTGGGACCCAGACTGAATTTCGGTGTGATTAAAAGAACTTATTTTCAGTGCGCTTAAGTCGGAGTGACATTTTTTGTCAGCTTTAAAGATAAACAACATCTTCAAAAAAGACATCATGCCTGTTTGCTTACCTTTTGGTGGGAGTAGGTGCCCCAGAGGACATGAGCATTGTGTCGTTCATGTTGTTGGCCACCGGTTTCGGCTGACTAAAAGACAAGATTAGAGGTCTTTAATGCTACACTGCAGAGGCCTGTGGTGCTTGTCATCGGAGGAGGGGGGGAAGGAGGAGAGGGCATTTGCATTTTATTAATAATCATGAATCAGCGATCCTGACTTTCAATTTAATCCTACTGTACCAAGGAGGGCAAGAAAAGGGGAGGCAGGGGGATCATTATGAACTCAAAAACAGAAGAAAAAAAAAAACCACAGGCACCAACATGCTGGACTCAAAATTGTAGTGAAATAATTGACTTTTCCGGGGAAACAGCAATTTAGATGTTTTTTTGGGGGCTATTAGCTTAAACCTAATTAACACGAGCAAGAGCAACAACAGCAGACAAGAAATCTAATTAAACCGGGAGTCTGTGAAAAAACTAGGAAAGGTGACATTGTGGGAGGTAATTTGTGAGAGTAAACAAAGCAATGGGGTCCATCTGGCGGCGGAATCAGCAACCCCCGAAAAAAAACCAGCCCGGGACCACAGAGTCTCATTAACGGATCAAAATATCACGTCTCAGGTGCTCGCGGAAAAATAACAAAACCAATGGCTGGATTTCCATGCCTGTGTAGTCCTCTTTAATCTGCACCCCGTATCTCTCAGCCTTCATTCTACTGTAAGTGACTGTTTTATTTAAAGCTCTCATTATCACATGAAAGGAACAGCAGCTGCGTCTTACTCTGCTTATTTGTGCAATCAGCATTTTTCCTTTTAGTCAAATCAAACTATTTATATCCACAATGTGCAAAATAGTGTTATCAGCATGAGCCACTGAGAGCTCGCTTACTTTTTTTTTTTTCTTTTTCTGGCCAACAAAGTGCAAAACAAAACAGAAAGCAGAGAATTCAAATAATGTACAGCTTCACAAACTAAAGCATTCATGTGCACCGCTCCAGGGGGGATGTTAAGCATGTTCCTTTGTAATTATTCATTGGTTCATGCATTTACATTTCCCCTCAAGAGCAGCCTAACAGAATCAAAAAGACACCAGTAATTCATCACTCTTATTTGTTTTTTTGCTGCTAATTCATGCAATAACAGGAACTACTCAAACCTGCACATGTCACCTTCCAGTCTCTGCAAACACTCCAGAACTAAAAAACCCCTCCATGTGAAAACTGTTTGGAAACGCTCATCACATTACCGGGATCCAGACAGACGGCGAGACACGAGGCGCCTGCACTTACCTCTGTGAGGAGAGAAAGCACCTGCCTGGCTGGCAAAATACATCCAACCGCTGCTGTTGCCAGATGCCTAATCTGCCCTCAACTGAGCGGGCGAGCATCTCAATGTACTACACTGCTGCTGTCTCCAAGGAAACTCGGCGGTCACGTGACTTTATGACGACGTAGATTTTCTCTCTCTCTCTCTCCTCTCCCTCTCTCTCCATTCTGTCTCTGACTCTGTCTTTTTTTTTTTTTTTTCTCCCCCCTCTTCTCTCTTACGCTAGAAATTAGGGAAATGCCATTTGCTCAAAGCACCTCAATTGCAATCTCTAAGAAAAAAATAAAAAAATAAATAAATCTCCTCTCATCCCGTCTGCAGGAAAGCGTGTAACAAACTGGCCTCTACTATAATTGCATTTGCATATCTTAACTCTTCCCCCCCTTTACCTTCAGCGAGTTACATAAGTGAAAGCTCTTCACAGCTCGCCTTCTATAAATAATCATCAGGCCTTTTGGAGAACTCTTGTGGAACAGTGGGGCGCAAGATGAAATGCAAAAAAAAAAATAAAGGGGGGCTTTCTTCTTATGTAAAGGCATCATTGTGTGTTTTATTCCTCCTCTAAACACATCCTTCACGTCGCTGCCTGCAGCCCCGTGGGTCACCGAACGCTGATTCAGGACACGCAGTCCAGACGTTTAGCCGGTGCCTCAGAGGTCAAACGGGGAGCGAATTGACACAACATTTAGGCGCTAAGAGATCAAAGTCTGCAATGCGCTAAGCCTCGTGTTACCTGCGTGCGGCGAATGACAATCGTTCCTTGTGCTCGGCAGCTGGCAGGGTTACAGGGTGTGGGGGGGGAAATTAAGTCTAGTGGCGCCTCACGCGTTCACCTTATTTCTGACGAGGCACGGCTGCCTTCAATCGCCCTCAGTCGGCTAAAAATAATAACACCAAGCATCCTCTCCTCTCCTGCTGGTGCTCCTGTTCCCCCCACCCCACGAGGCCGTCAGTACTTTGGCCATCAAAAAGAGAAAAAAAAGCCCCAATGGATCAGGCTCACAGAAAAGTGAATTACATGGCCGTTCTCTCCATTTTAATGACATTGATGGAATTTGCATTGACCTGGAGACTGAAAAAAAAAAAAGGAGAGCAAAACAGAAGGAGGCATTTTAAAATGTTAATGGATTTCTAGGGATTACATAGAGAGTGGAAAATTGCTAAATATTAAACTGAGAATTTGAAGTGTGTGTTCCGCATTAATGCAAAAGATGCCTATTTTTCGACTCCCAGTCTATTTTGGTGCTTAAAGTCTTTCGGCGGAAGCGGTGCTAAGTCTGAAAGGTAAGAAGCCGTATCCTAGATTTAAAGTTTTTCCGAGACAGACAGTGCATCCCCAAACCTATAACTCCTCCAAAACACAAATCCCCAAGAATCTCGCTGACACTTTGAGTGGAAGAGGGAAAAAAAACCTCACAGATCAGCTCACTGTTAGTCGACGCTTTCGGATGCCAGTAAATATTTCAAAACAGTATCAGAATAGCTGCACTTTGTCTGAAGACGGTATGAGTGTTTGGACAACTGGGAGACTCATGTCCGTTCGATTTGGCCGTTTTGATCAAACCTGACGCTTTACCCCGATTCTGCCATTATTACTCACTGGCAGAGGCTTCGCCGGGCCTCGGACGCCCACATACACACACCTGAGAGAGAGACGGCGCTGATGGATGTCTCCCGGTTTACAACATGAAATAACACCTCTTCGCTGATAACATTCATCAGGATTGACAAGTAGCTGGCTGCACTAGTTTTAGAATACCAACAGTGCATTTCTCTCACTCTTATATGGCACCGATAAAAAATGAAGACAGTGTGGAATAAAAACTGGAGCCTTGGCAGTTTTCCTGTGACTAATTATCTGAGGGATCCAGTTTGAGGGGAAGATTTCTGTGGCCCACGGGGGTGAAATGGGAAGAGTATGCTGATAATTACTGCATTCAGTCATAATTTCTTTTAAATTGACCATTAACAAATGGGAATTATTCCATTAGCGCCAGTTCTTCTTACTCGTTGCTCGAGGCTACGAAGAGTGTAGAAGATTTGCAGTTGGCATGTTGGATTAAAAGGAATATCTCAACTTCTAAGGAATTTCATTAGTCTCTGTGCCACAGCCAAGGAAATGATCCAGCATGTAAGACTTCGTAGCTTTTACGCTTCTTTTTTTTCTTTGTATGTATTATTAAAGATGGAGATTTTAAACCAATACACGTTTTGACAAATTCAGCAAATAAGTCCTCGTGCATGCTGGGAATGGGGAAGGAAGCTGAGGGAGCAAGAGAGATTTTAACCCTCTGAACCCCAAAACCTGCCACCTTTAAACAAAAAAAATCACCAAAATTGCATCATTTATCAGAGCCAGAAACTTCAAACTTCAACTTTCTCATCATGGTCCTTAACTAATCATGTGTTTTTTAACTCTACACATCTTTTTTTTTAAATTGCCAAAACAAAAACTCTTTACACTAAACAGAATCTCTTAAAATCAAAAAAATTCGACACTTTTTGGCACAATCCTGACGCTATTCGTAGCTCAACTGCAACCAACAGTGACTTACTCTGTGAATATTTGGCCTAACTGCAGGCTGTGTTTACTCAGGAGACAAGAATGCAAACAAATTAAACGTTAAATGTTGGTAAAATATCTTTAGTATGTAGAGCCAACATTTTTGTCCAGTTTTTGAATTTCCTTTCTTGGATAAATAAAGTATTTTTCATTTCATTCATTTCATTTCATTTTGGTAACACCTGTGGCCATGTGGAAAAATGTTGTACATGTTTTTTTCAGTTTTTGTAAAATAAATAATAAAAGAAATTCAACTTTCATTTATTCTTTTTTCTGTGATTTTTAGCGTCTATGAGTTTTTTATTACAGTGAAAATGCAACAGGTGAAAAAAAACGCTTGAAAACTGCTTGGTGTTCAAAGGTAAATCTGGCACATGCTAGCGAGCTAAATATGCTAACTAGCTAAATATCAACAATCTTTCTTAACAACCACAGACTCCACCTTTAAACGTCTGGTATACAACATTCAAATTAGTATCCTCAAGAGGTGCTAGTAAGCAGATTTAGTACTTTAAGATGAAAAAAAAATTACCTCGTTTTAAGTGGTTGTGCTAACACAAGCTAGGTCTCATAGCTGCAGCTTCAGGTTTAATGGAAAGACACGAGAGTAGTATTGATCTACTCATAACCACAAACTGTCATTTTCATATTACACAAACAATATATAACATGCTAAGGCATTTTAGAGGTGCTTTTAGGTGGATTTTTATTACATTTGGATGGAGCCAAGCTAATAGTTTTGCCATTTATTGTCTTTATGCTATGCTAAGCTAAGTCCTAAAGTTGTAGCTTCAGGTTTACTGGACAGACATGAGAGTAGTATTGATCTACTAATAACCACTAACTGTCATTTTCACACTAATGATTACACAAACAATATAGAACATGCTAAAGAGCTTTAAAGGTGCTTTTAGGTGGATTTTTTATTACATTTGCAAAGAGTCAAGCTAATAGTTTCATGGTTTTATGTTAGGCTAAGCTAAGTCATAGCTGTAGCTTAAGATTTATGGACAGACATGAGAGTAGTATTGATCTCCTAAACACGTCTATGGGTTACACAGACAAAACACAACAAGCTTTCAAAGTACTTTTAGGTGGATTTTATTTCACTTGGACAGAGCCAAGCTAATAGTGCTTCAATTCATGTCTTTATGCTAAGCTAAGCTAACCACCTTCACAGTTAATGGACAGATGGTGTCATC